CATGTCAAATATAAATACATTCATGCATTAATTGTGGAGTTTTCTCTCATTTTTAGGAAGGTGTTCTAATCAATCCAGAGTGAGTGTTTTGATTTTCTGTTGGCTCTTTGTTTTAAATAATGCTGAGAAATTTTTTCAGTGAGAATTTTAAACCTGTTTACTCTGCTTATGTGGAAGATTTTTCAATTTTCAAAAATCTAGAATCTTTTTTGTTTTTCATGACATTAACTTTTTAAAAGAGTCTGCCTGAGCCAGTTGTCCTATAGAATGTCCACTGTTTTGATTTTGTCTATTTTATCATGATTAGATCCAAGCCAGACTATTTTGGGCCATAATACAGTAAGCGATGTGTGCTTTATTTGCATCACATCAGGTGGTATATAATGTCAGGTTGCCCCATTATTGGTGTTGCTGTATTTAGTCCTGGATCTTTTTCTGAGCATTTTAATACATTCTGTTGATCTACATGTCTACTCATGTGTCATCCCCACATTGTTTTAATTACAGAGACTTTTTACAATATATATTGATACTTAGTATTTATTTTCAGTCACCACTTTTTTTCTCCAGGATTTTTCTAGCTATTCTTGCATAGTCTTCTATATGAATTTTAGAATCAACTTGTCTAGTGCTGGGGCAAAAACTATTTTATTGAAATCACATTAAATTCATATATTATCTCAGAGAAAATTGGCCTTTATGTGATGTTACATTGTCTTAGAACAAGGGATGTCTTTCCATTTGTTCAAGACTACTTTTATGTCTTTCAGAAGTATTTTTACATTTTCTTCATACTGTTTTATGTATTTTTTGTATTTATTCAAGTATTTTCTCCTTTATGATAATCTTATAAATGAGGTATGCTTTTTCATTACATCTTCTAACTGGTTGTTTGAATATGTAAAGGGTATTGATTTTTATATATTAACTTTTATATTATGCTGACTTTCTGATTTATTAGTTCTCTTACTGGTTGTGTTAGTTTTAGCATTGATTCTTTTGGACTTTCTGGATATAAATTATATTATCTAAGTAACAGTTTTACTTCTTTTCCAATTCTTGAGAAGGGCTTGCAGTTTTCCTACAGACATCTTTATATTGAATTTGGCAGGAAAGATCTTTGCCTTCCTAAATTTTGTATTTTACTGGAATATAATAAATTGCATTTCATTTCTCCTAACCGTAGATAATCAAAGCATAATTCTCCCTGTGCCCCATATAGAGATTAATGGCAATTTCCAAAACTCAACTAGGATGCATAGTTATAGTGTTGCCTAAAACAAATAACTCTTTAGAAAGTTTCGTAGAAGGGAGGAGAGAGGTTCTCCTGTCCTTAGCACAGTGCCTTGTGCTTGGTGGGTTGCCCATAATCATTTGGTGATGATACATAAGGTTGCTGGATATATGTTCTGGCTTCAGAATTTGGCACTTTGTTTGGCCTGCTTTGTTTTTGCAATAAATCTGATCATCTTTTTTCTTTCTTTCCTTTGATCATGGTCCTGACTTGAAGGTTGGTAGAGTTTAAGGAAACTAAAAAATATATTATTCTGCTGTTCCAATCAGTCAGGTACAAGTGGGGTATAATGTCATGTTCTGATTTTCCACAAAGTAAAATACCCAAAGCATCTCCCAAGAAGCATAAAATTTCTTCATTATCTTCTCCAGAGTGTATTAATGTCTGGAAAATTAGGAAAATTTTAAAATAATACATTTCAGTTTTATAGTAGTTTTAGAAACATTACCAAAGGAAGTAGTTAATTAATGTTTTTAAAAGGAGTCCTAGAACATTAATTCAAACATTCTGATGACTAATACACACAGTTAACACTGCATTGTAGAATATGAACCCGGTGGATATGGCATAGATTAATTCATTCAGTTAATATTTGAGTTAACTCTTGAGGATCTTCTGTGTTTCGAGCATTTGGACCAGGCACTATGGATACAAAAGTGAATTAAATCAGATCCTGACCACAGGGCCTAGACAAACACACAAATGGGTCTGGAGGTTTGTGACTTAGAGGCATGGGTTTCAGTAGTGGTACTGCTGCTGCTTGGTTGTGTGACCCATCTTCTGACTTACTTTCTGAAAGCTGCTATTTCCTCCCTTTAAAATGGTGTTATCTTTGTTATTTATTAATTAGCTATCTTAAAATTCTTAATAGTTGTCAAGTTTTGTTTGTTTTGTTTTATTTTAATTTAAGAGATTCTCTAACTTTTCCATTGTTAGCAGTGGCACTGCCAGTCGTATAAGGTTATTTGCTATCTTCAAGTTACTGAAACTCCTTACCAGAGTTTATTTTCTTTGCGTTCTCATGGTTGTGGTCCCAACTGTTCTGCTGGAGGTCTGAACTATAGCAAAAAAATGAAAGCAAACCTGTGCAACTGTTACCCCTGTGCTGAGGCACAGGATTAAGTTTCTCCTCTCAAGTCTCATCAGTTGCAGGTTACAGCCGTCTCCCAGTAACAGGTCCTGGAAGCAAACTCCTCCAGGTGGATGGGCGTATAGGCCTCTGTTTAAGGACCATTGTGGTCCATAGGATCTGCCAGGCCCTTGATGTACTACAAACATTAAACTGACAGATAATAGTCAGTTACCCAGAGGATTTATAGCTTCTGCTGGCTGAGAGGCCTCAGTGAACTCTGGAAAACCCATTTTCTGCCCACACCTTGAGAAGAGGCCTGTTTTCCATGCACAGCTCCTTGCTCAGCACCGAGGAAGACACAGCGCTCCCATTCCCACACCTTGCCTGACACACTGGCTCTGAGATCCCAGGGAAAAAAAAGACTTCATCTTCTGAGATACTGTCCAGCGTTTGCCATCCCTCTTGCCTTAGTCTTTGTAGGCCTCTGGAAAGGAACTAAACATGATTTCAGATTTTAAAATCATTAGACAAAGTGAAAAAGAAGATGCTAACCTAGAAGATTAAGTGGCATAATTATGAAAAGATAAAAATTATGAAGGTAAAAATAAAATGGGCTGCAGAATTAAACAAATAACAGAATAAAACTTCCCTGAGCAGGAGAATGATAAGATTCTGCAGATTAAAGGGCTATCAAGCCCCAAGAAAGATTAATAATAACAAAGACACACTTGGACATACCCTGGTGAGAGCAGTCTGTTGGCATAATTCCCTCTTTCAGGGGAAGTCGGTCTTTTTTCAGGCCTTCATCTGGTTGGATGAAGCCCACTCACATTATGGAAGGCAACCTACTTTACTCAAGGTCTGCTAACTTAAATGTCAGTCCTATCCAAGAAATACTTTTCACAGAAACATCTGGAATGTTTGATCAGATAAAAGTGAAATAAAATATAGATTTTTGGGGGTAAAATTTACTTAAAATAGCAAAACATTTGGGGATGCTTTTCCTTAAGCTTATTCCTTTCTGTATATTCTCTATTGAAAGCTGAAACAAACATGTATGATTGTATTTCTAAATGATATTATTTCAGTAGGCAATCTAAATTTAAAACTAAGCTTATATTGGGTTGCCCAAAAAAAGTTCGTTCGGGTTTTTCCATAAGATGTTATGGAAAAACCGGAACGAATTTTTTTTGGCCAACCCAATATCTTTAGAAAATTCATTTTAAAATTCTAGTTTTCAACACATTCTTATCCTGAAGTTGAAACTGTAAAACATGTAATTTTTTTCTTTGTACTTTCATAAGCTAAGGATGTAGATTTGGGGGGATTTTAGTTTTTTTTTTATTTTCATCATTTTGAAATTACTTTCTAATTGGATAAGAATTTTAAAATCAGTAATCAGCCTAGGCCTATTTTATGGCAGTCAGATTATAGTAGTGAGAACACGTATGTAAGATGTTGCTAATTCCTGAACTCCGTGGTATGACCACTCTCATTTTAAAGCCAGTGTGTCGTGCCAGACTATTCTTAGCAGTTGCAGCTAGAGAGGGTTGTGAGAGCATGAGGGCTGAGGTGAGGATTTTACCATTAGTTCTGTATACTTCAGTGTAAAGTCTTACAATAAGAATCAGCATTATTTGAATATTTTCAAAAATGTTTTACAAAAATCTTTTCAAGGCCAATGTTATCTAAGAGTAAAAAATGAGTTAAATGCCTATAAATGAGAGCAATTAGTGTTTTGTTTCAACTAGGAATTGTGCTATTTGCTCTTAACAGGGCATTGCAATTCTCACTTCTAACCACCCCTGCGTGGTTAAGCTTTTAGCGTTATTTAACAAACTGTTAAACTACTCACGTGTTAACTATTCACATGTTGGTCTGCTGATTGACAGAGATTGAAAAGTAAATGAGAGCCACACCTGTGTTCGTTTTAAACTTGAGCTTGATTTTGAACCAGTATCTTTCAGATGAGATGCAATGTGTTACATCCTTAGAAGCTGTTTATTACAAAGAAATGCAGTAGAGGACATGGGGAACAAAAAGATAAATCTATACATGATAAAATGATTTTTCTCAAGGTTAGCAGTCTATATTGTCATTTTAAAGGAGAGAATCAAGGGAACTTTTTTTTTTTTTCAGTACTCTGTGGTGATTGAATAGATAGCCGATTGTATCAGTAGGAAATCAGATGATCAAAGAGAAATTCAAATAGATTTATTTTTTGTTTTTGAGAAAATAAGGAAGCGATTCTTTTCATAGACTTTGTGATATTTCTTTATGAAAACTTGATGACCAACAAGACAGAGCAAAACTTTCATTGAAGAAATGTAGCAGAGGGAGATAATGGTATAATTTTTGAGCTGAGAACAGAATAAGAGCACATCTTCTGCTATTGCTGGATGCCACTTGAATGAGGAAATTGGCTTAGCTCACCTTGAGTCAGGTCTCTTAGTTAGCTAAACTCTCCAACTGTTTCTGACCAAAGAATTCATGATACCACTTTAAAGGATTCTGCCATCCAAGTGAGGCTTTTTTCTTGTAAGCTGTAGGAGTCATGTCTTGCTGACATAAATGTTTTCAAAATAAAATGTATAGGTATAATAAGCAAATATTCACAATCTTTTCATTTCACAGGGATTATCAGTATAGAAAGAAAGCCTTGTAACCACCATGTAGATACAGCACCAACGGTAAGGCAATCTATTTCTACATTGTTAAAACTGTTAAGAAGGCACAAAGTAATACTGGTTATAGTGATACAAAATGCCATTGTAGAAAACTCTTGTAACCTACCTTTTGCCAAGAGTTATATCCCTTTAAGAAAATTAACCTTATGTTTTCTAATAATCAAGATAACCTATCAATTTTTACTAAGATATAGGAAAATAAGATGCTATATCATTTTTACAGGTACTTGTTTATATTAATGTTATGAATAGAATGGTATTTAATTTTAAAATACTTTATACTTTTGATAAAGTACTGTAAATCTTTATGCAAATTGATTTACACCCTTGTAAAAATGAGTGTTATTTTCTGCACTAGCATCATTATTTAGAGTGCATGTTTTGTAATAGTGAAAGTAGGCCATTATGCTTCATTTCTCTTGGAGACTACTATGCCTTATTATTATAAAAGTGAAACCTAATCTTTTACCCCACTACTATTACCACCAGACAACAAAAGGCATTTAAGAATTATAGTATCTCTTTACTATGTTAAAAATAATTATAGAAAATAATATAAAAGGAAGACAAATAAACTTCCCTTTTAATCTCTGTATATAGTATTTGTATGTATGAAATACACTTCAGTTGCTGGTTCCCACTTGAAAGATTCACAAGAAATAGACTAGAGTATATCTTTTCACTAGCATATTCTTGTTTCTTATCCTTTCTATATAATAAATCTTTCAAGTACTCCGTACAATTCAGCATTTCCTATTGTGAGAAAGATTTAGTAATACTTTTTTTAAGAAAATAAAAAAGTATTAAACTGTATTTGAATTTTATTGATAATTAATATTTTCCTCATGGACAAATTGACTCCATTTTTTCTGTTTGTTATAAATCCATATAATTGATTCAGCATGTTTGGTAACTTAATACATGGGGCTTCAGAAATGACTGGTGTTTGAGGAATTAATCATTAGCATAGTCATAAAAAGGTACATGGATATAGTGTGTGTGTTCCAGTTATCCTTTAGTAAGTATGCTAAAAGAATAGCTGTAACATTATGTAAATTTTATTCATTAATATTAAAAATGGAAGGCTAGCAATTATGGAAAATTAATTATTTTAAGGTATTTGAATAATCTACTCATTTGACTATTTTATATACTTTTGAAATTTATTTTATTCCTGTAGGCTTTCCTGCAGCACCTTGTTTGCATTCTGGGTGTTCTGTACATTTTGGAACTCAGAAAAGTGTAACCTGCCAGGTTTTTTTGTTTCACCCGGTAGGCTGATGGCAGATTCCCAGGTGAATTAAATCATAAAATAATAGAACCAAATATTCATGAAATCATGAGAAATAATGGCATGAACAAACTTTACAGTAGTGCCCTGATCTCGAAATTACTCCTGTGAATTAGGAACAAAATCTAATGCATAATAGTTTAGGTATCTTTGGTTTTTGGTTATGTTCTCCCAGTTGGATTATTAAATGGTGGCTCCTAATATATTAATAGCATTTCTACTCTGTATAGTTGATAAGTTTTAAAATACTTGGTTTATACAGACGCTCCCGTAACACTGATTAGATCCCCAGGTTTGACTTGAGCCAGTCTTCCTTTCTGATGTCTTTTTCTGAGCTCTTCTTCTGTCTCTTTACTACAACTTAAGCATATTCAACAACCTTTCCTCTCCCCCATAGTTCCCCAACTTGCTGACAGTTAACCTTGGCCCTTTCTCCATAACCTCTAAATAGAATCACAAGTCTGTTCATTACCCAATCTCTGCTGGGCCTCAGGACAGATAAAGTCTGATTTTCACAGAAATCTAATTTTACCTAATTTTCCTCCTTTGTGTCAGTGTGCCCTTATTTTCCCTAAAGGGTTTAAGAGAAGAAAATATTTAGAGATAAAAGAAATAGGAAAAAGTCTGTCTAAAAGTTTTACAAAGTGGGATATTTGTGAGTTCAAACTTTGTACTATACTGGCTAAAAAGGAGAGAGACTCTTTGGGCCTGAGAAAAAAAATAGAAGGGGAGTGGGCCAGGATTTCAGAATGGCTGAGGCTCTAAATGACTCTTGTTCTCATACCTAGCCACCAGTTTCCAGCCTACATCTCTACAACTCCTTTGGTTCTAAGTCCTACCATGAATGGCTGGGGTCTAGGAGAGTGCTAGATGCTACTTACAACTATTCAGCAGGGGAAGGAAGCAAGACTTTCTTAGGCCTCTGTGACAGGGAAAGATGTGTTTCTTGATGTTTCAGGTTGGAATGAACTTTTCTGCAATATATGGTTACAGAGGATAGTTTGATCCTATAGCGTTATAGTGGGATGCAGTAGTGTTCTTTAAGTGAATATAGGTTAACCTGAGAACAAAACCCCTTTTGTCCCTTGGTTCTGTGTTCTTTCTCACTCTCTTTTTAATTTACTTGTTTCCCTTTTTTTTTAATTTATTACATGAATTTTAATTTTTTGTTTGGAATTTTTTTTCTTTTTGACATAAATAATACCATATCTGTGTTTGAGTTTCCTTCAATAGAAAGCAAAACAATATCCCCACATGGCATGACCCCCTCCACCAAAAAGTATCAAACCTTCCTTCTTAACTGGCTATAATCACTACTTACTTTTTTTTTTTTTTGCATTCAGAGCTCTTAATTTTGTTCATATCTAAGAGTATATTTTCAAGTTATTTTTTCAAAAAATATAAATTGAGAATTATATTACCTGAATCTACATATTTTAAAATATCTCTCATTTGTCTTTGCATAAGACAGCTTGCCAGGGCTTTTAATTATTTGAATATAACCTTTTCCCTTCAAAACGTTGTGGAAATTGATCATCTTTTTGCCTTCTGTCATTGAGTATTTCAGGAGAGACATTCAAATCAGTCTGATAGTTATTCCTTTGTATAGGTAGCATGTTTTGCCTGTTCATGTATTACAGATTTTCTTTTATTTTCTTTATACCTAATGTCTTAGCTTAGATTTGATGCATAAATGTGTGGCTTTCTTTTCACTGATTTTTGGGCTAAATGGTATTCACTCGGATGTGTTACTATTGTAGGAAAAGCGAATAAGACATCATACAATCATAATATTAGATTACATGAAGATAATTAGATCATGCCACTTTAAGAGCTGGTTACTGCACCTGCTTATAGCCTCCAGCAAGTTAAGGATAATATCAGACTCAGATTAATCAGAGGTCATTGTCTGAACCCTGAAAGGCAGGTGTAAAAGTAAGTTAATAGTTAAATCAGCATAGGCTTGAGTCCCATAGTTACTTTAAATGGAGGACTTATTTGCAAACCAAAGAGAAATAGCAACTAGCATAAGGAAGTCTTCCACCCACATGTCTGGTCTTTTCTTACTTTAGGTTATTACACGAAGGACTTAGTTAAAACATACCTGCCTTTTAATGTACAGTCATATGCACAGCAGTTCCCATAGCTTTTCCTATTTTCTGGTGGAATTAAAACATGGTAAGCCATGTTTAATATATAAAGTATTTTTAGTGATTTGAGGAGAACTGTTTTTGAATTTCTTCCAGTGAAAACTGGTACGATAAAATTCAAATAACATCAACATGGCCTATTGTAGTCAATCATTTTTGTAAAGCTTCTGCATTCCAAACCTGTAACCTTAACTTATCCTATTTCTTTCTTCTTATTTTATTCAGTGATCCCACAACCCCCACTAATGAGAACAAATTTTATTTTAACAAAGGGATGTTTTGTCAGTTTATAAAATTACGGCTTATGTTTTCGTAGAGGTCTACACATCTACCACAGCAGGTTGAAACAAACTCCTGCCTGTCTCATCAGAATTATACCAGTTACGGAACACTTTTGCCATCTGTTAAAGTGTTGCATAAATTATTAAGAATGAAAATATCCTAGCTTGATTGGAAATTTAAGTGTTGGTTCATTATTCTTCATTGTTATAAGACCAGTTTAACAAGCTGTTCATTCATTCTGCAGTTACAGTCCTTCTAGGTTTTCTAAGGGCTTGATTGATAAATTTTTGTCACATGATTTTTCATCAGTGGTAAACTTTACTGTGTTTTAGAGTATTTTATTATTATGAAAATATATCTGAGATGTTCGTGGTATTGCTTGCCCTTAACAGTAAACTTATTCATAAATGTACATACAAATTAAAGTTTATTCTGAGCCTCTTTTTGATTATATGATTATGGATTATGTGATATTCATTCTACAGCATTTTGAGTTGTTTCTGTTGTTAGATTATTATCATTGTTTAGCCCACTCTAGGTTCACAAGATTGCTACATATTGCATTATTGCACACTAGTTTAATAAATTTATACATATGTTTACATAAAATATGTCTTTCACATTTTAACATACTGTTGGGGACGGCCAATCTAAAGAATTTTCCGGGAATTCATAGTATGTAAACTAGGGTGAATGTGCCCCTATAAAACTCATAAAATAGAACCTATGGCCAATCTCTTCCTGAAGGCAATTGTAGGGTGGAGAGGGAACTGATAAACTATAAGCTTTTATAACTTGTCATAAAAGAATCTGTTTTCACTTATCAATAAAGTAGCAATTCAGAGCAATTCTATTGAAATTCAAATGTAAATGCAATAAATTCATTCTTTTTTAAGACCACTTGTGAGTTATCCATACTATAACATTTTTCTTAAGTATTTGCACATTAATTTTTCTCCAGATATTGTAAATTATGAAGCTTATGTTGATTTTTCCCATTAGCATACTCTGCTGACATTTGTTTTTCTCAGATTTTTTTCCCCCAGTTCTCTTTTGACTTTGCTAAATTTCTCTACCTGAGAAAGTTTTAAAATTCTGAAAGTGTCATATTACTGGAGGACTATAACATAAGAGTGGCATAATAGGAATTTATTTTCTAAATGATCAGCAAGCATTAGGTGTACGGTGCCCATAGGACAGTACAGTATCAAGTGCTGGGTAGGTGTGGGAATGGTATGGGGGAAAGCAGAAATACAAAAAAGTATAAAACATGCTTTGTG